TGGGCTACGCGCTGATCACTTACACTGACGGCCTCACATGCATCCATACTTTCTGCACCTACATGTGCCTTTAATTCTACTTCACGTTTAAGTTGTACAGAACCTTTGTTCAACTCAGCAGTAGTAGGCACCCCTCTCATCTCATCATGATCAACCATAGACAAAAGTGTACTATCACGATCATTATTACAAATATTTACTTTACCGTCGTCTATCTGGTTGACTTCATCATTTTCAAACTCTTTAATAACAGTAGTAGACAGTTTGGGTTTTTCCTCACAAATCCTTAAAAGTTTTATAAGTTTACTCTAACTAGCAATACCTTGTAAACTTGAGGAGTCAGAACTAGCCTCTGAAACTGCAAATCTCTTCTCCTGCACAAACCGCGGTGACACACTGTGACACTCTAATTAACAATGGCCTACCAGTTGCAACTACAGACTTCTTTACTGCACCATTATCGTCACACGAGTCGTAGTCAGAATTTGATGACGCTGATTTCACACTAAGCTTATCACTAAACTTGGTCACTTCTTCACAGCCCACCTTTGTATGCACTTCTTGCAAACTTGTAAAACACAAAAGTGTTTGTCTCGCAACTTGTAACCAATCTGTTAAGGACGTCCCACGAAGGCTGTTACACTCACTGAGCTTAAAAGGATTACTGGACACCATAGGGCTTTCTCGATATTCGCTTCTCTGAGACTGTCAATCACGTCTCATAAACCGTTAATGCCCAGCTCTCGCTACGCTCGGGCCCACGCTGTTCCTTGAAGATTTCAGAAACGCTTAGTTATAACGGACGAAAAAACCAAAACACCGATCTGCCGCTTGAGATTTCTTTATTGTTACACCAACATATAGAAGGAATAACTGAACTAAGATTTCTGACGATGTTTCACTCTTCTTTCTGAACAGCGACCGATGAGACGATGACTGTCGTATTGATGCCTCCGCGAAAATTGGGGAAGTTGATTTTGAGCAAACAACCAAGAATTGATCGTTCAATCTTCAACTCCATTGACACTACCCGGCAAAAAAGGGATCCATCCCTTTTTTTCCTTCACGACCAATACACGTTGACTTGTATGCCATTGCGAGAACCTGGGTCACACGGACAGAGCTGAAATGGAAAACAAACAGAAAAGCCAACACACCACAAGCATACCCACAGCACAATCTCACACATCAATGACGACCTGCGCCTCCAGACAGAGACCTCCTCTTGACATCTTGCAACACAATCGCCACTTGCTAGAATGACTCTTGCAGAATGCAAAGTGACCATAGCACCAACTCATGATACTCTACGCACAACCTCTTATCTACTCACTACCAATTACCACTTCGATCGCTTGTCACTCATTCTGCCTCAGTTCTAGTAACGGTGATGTATGCGAGCCTCAGTCGTTTACACTCTTTCTCCCCGACGTATCGGACCGCAGCTAACAATTATCTCCGTATGCATTTCATTCTCAGCAATAGCCTCCCCGGCGTATACGACCCATCTGATGTCCTTAACGTCAATCAATTCATTCATGGATGTAGAAGACTCGAAACAACTTCAGAAGTAATCACGACGAAAATTTTAACAAAATTATGCTATAACAACAAGGTACGAAAACAACGAGTAAACACAATGAATCCAAAAAACAACAATTGATATGACACACCACACGTATATACAAACAGTACACACAAACTCGCAGATCGTGTCTTGATGGAATTCCTTGGAAGGATTGCAGGACTTACACCAGTACGCCTACAAACCTTCACAGGTTGACCATTGTGAGTTGTGGAATGTCCGGACACAAACAAGATTTACCAACAATTACATCAATTGGAACTCACACAACTATTTAACACAAACATATGTACAATCACTACATCAAATGTTGTGGATTCTGACACGACAAACTACCCTTGAAGAACTGTAGGACTTACAGCAGTACGCCTACATTCCTTCTCAGGTTGATGATCCAAGTGGAAGTCGTCCGGACACAAACAGAATTACCAACAGCTAGATGACAGATGATATCAATTCAGTATATACAATATGAACATATGTACAAAATCACACACCCAGCACATTGGACTGCTCATTGATGCGCTACCCTTTGAAGAATTGTGGGACTTACAGCAGTACGCCTACAACCCTTCTCAGGTTGACGCTCTAGGTTGGAAAATCGTTGCAGAGTTCAATTGCTGACCTCTTTTTATCAGCTATATCCTCAAATCTGAAGGGAAACACGCTCATGTCATTGTAAACTTGTGGAGTCAGAACTGCACTCTGAAGTAGCAACTCTATTCTGTGACACTCTGTTCAACAATGGCTTACCAGTTGCAACTACAGACTTCTTCACCGCACCGTTATCGTCACAAAATTCGGAGTCAGGCCTGGAGTTCACATTTAGCTTATCACTGAACTTGCTCACTGGTTCACAGTTCACCTTTGTATGCACCTCTTGAAAACGTGTAAAACACAACCATGCTTGTCTTGCATCTTGCAACTTATCTGTTGAGGAAGTACTACGAAACCTGTTACACTCACTAAGTCTATATGCATTACTGGACATCATGGAGCCTTCTCGATATCCACCTCTCTGAGGCCTACTCGTCATCAATGATTGCGTTTTACCCTCAGACTGCTCTATTCTAGGGGTGAGATGTAATAGACTGGCGAACTTGCTCACAGATTGATTGACACTAGTATTTACCAGTTTCAGGATATCATCAAACTTTGGCTCGATACCCTCATCCTCCATACGGGAGCTCATCTTCACCCACTTCCTTTGCAGTCGAGTAGGTAGACGTCTTGCTATTACTTCTAGTATAAAACTCGAGTTGAGGTCACTCGTGCGATTCATCGAAATCATTGCATTCTTGTAAATTAGCAAATTATCTAAAAACTCAGTGAGTGCCTGGGAGTCATCCTGTAATTGACCACCATTACCCTTAACAGCTTCGAATAATTTCCCTGCAATCATCGAAGGTCTTCCAAGCCTTTGACGTAGTATGCTCATAGCCTCGTAGTAGCCCTCTTTTGGCTTCATTAACTTACAGCACTGTATAGCTCTTGAAGAATCTCCAGTGCAATATCTCATCAAATACATTAACTTCATTTCATCAGTTAATAAAAACCATTCAGCATGATCTCAAACTCCTTTACAAATTGTAAATAATCAGCCGGGTTTCCATCAAAACATCGTGGTTCAAACTTAGGGAGTTTGATGTTCCTATTATCCCTGAACGGCGAAACAGTAACATCAACCATGTCATGCTTAACATCAGACACATCGTTACAAGTAACAGACAAGTCACCATGACTTACTTTCCTGTTCGCATCCAAGACGTTCTGTCCCTTCTTTGACCCAGGCATTGTTGAACTTGACCCAATTCCAAAAACGTTCCAGATATTGCTTGTTCAAAGAGGACTTGACCGGCACCAGGAGAAATGAACGGCGACTATCCAAACTTTCACCAACTGTTTGAATCCGCCAGATCTGTTTCTATCGTCAGAAACTGTCAATCACGTCTCATAAACCGTTAATGCCCAGCTCTCGCTACGCTCGGGCCCACGCTGTTCCTCGAAGATTTCAGAAACGCTTAGTTATAACGGACGAAAAAACCAAAACACCGATCTGCCGCTTGAGATTTCTTTATTGTTACAGCAACATATAAAAAGAATAAGTGAACTAAGGTCTGAAAACAAATATTACAATAATAAATCATTGTATTACTTCTGACGATGTTTCGCTCTTCTTTCTGAACAGCGACCGATGAGACGATGACTGTCGTATTGATGCCTCCGCGAAAATTGGGGAAGTTGATTTTGAGCAAACAAGCATGAATTGATCGTTCAATCTCCAACTCCATTGACAGAGACCCTTTTTTCATATATTGCGGTCTGATAACTGTAGATACAAGTCAGGTATAGTACCGATTGGCTGGGTAATTAGGCATACTACTGAAAATAAGGTCGATGTAACATAGGCAATAAATAGCACAACCAGTATACTGTAGACTGATGGAGCGGTTACTCCTTTGGTGTGCGGTGAATCCTATAAATGGTGGACTGCAACGGAAAAGAAGTTAGTCTTTCTAGTGTTACTGCTCTCCGGCGACCGATTCTGTCAGGATTAGCTTGAAAGATAGCGTACTGTCCTTATCTTAGTTTGTCTGGGATCAGGCCCATTGGGTCAATTGCTGCTTTATTTGCCATGATGTCACCCTTGATTTTGTTGTATCTAAGAGTATGCAGATACAATTTTTTCATTGGGGCTTCCAAACATTTATCTGGTATACATGGGACAAACAGACTAGCAATGGGAGGATATGAGCGCGCATTCGAGTATCAGCAGATCTTGAGTGCCCACTGGCAGATAAATCCGCAAAGTAATCAGCCTGCAGCATCCGTTATCAACACTAAGTGCCGACAATTACCGTTTAGCACAAGTGATTAGACTGAAGGTATGGAGTCGAACCTCTACACCTACTGGCTTGCTTTCGTGTTAGGTGCGGCTTTTCGTGTCTGCACCCTAGCTGGTTAAGCGGAACTAGGATAAGTGCCGTGAGAAGGGAAGATGTACACTTGCACTTGCTGACAAGAGTATCTCCGGTACGCGTCGACATCCCTCAACTTGTATAACATCCTTCATCTTCAGAAACTCACTTATCTTTGTTCTGCATATTTTAGTGATTTCGAAAGGCTGTGAAGTTTCCGTCTGCTCAACCTCCTTTGTCTGTATTTATACGATGAAATATACAACGTCTTTTCTTTTTTGAGAAAAAAATCATCCAGCATCTTCGAGATACACTACAAATCACAAGATGAGGATCGACTGATAATAAGGTTGGTCATATCTGTGGCACTTGTCATCCTGAGGGATGCTAGCGCTTTTAGAGAGATAGATGTGAGTTCCAGGAACTTAGTCATATGGAGTAATTAGTAACAAAGACATTGAATATTGAGTATCTGTTACCAGTGCCCAAAACAGAAGTTTAGGAAAGGAAAAGCAGCAATTTATTTGTTCTTATGGTGTGAATATATAGTGGCAAATAACTTTTGCCTTCACTTAATAAACTCTGTCTACTTGGTTAAATGACCTTGCGGTTAGGTAATTGTCTTCGAATATTTGGCGGGTTCACTTCTAGTCAGCTGATCATCTTCCTAAACGTTATAGTTGAGTATGAATGTCGCTTGTAATCGCCATGATGACAATCTTCCCATCCTGTTCATTGACTTTAACCAAGACTACACGTAAGTTCGTTGGTTATTTTTTTGCAATCTGGTATCTTCCATACAGTGTCCTTAAAAATATATACTAAGGATTGCCTATAGGCAATCCACCAAACAGCAGGTTGTGTAAATTAATTTAATCGTAAACAGGAATATTTTATGCTGAAATTTCTGGATACTATAATTTAATATAAAATAAATGCAAATGGAATCTCTTTGGTATGAAAGTACCTTAATATTGCCATGAAAATTTTCAAGCGGTACTCAACACTTCACTTTAATAGATATAAGTGAATCCTACCAATATAAGCAATATATTTCGTTGGAGATATGAATATTTGCGTTGAAATCGTGAATGGTCCTCCTAACCCTCTATAAAACTTTTAAAGTCTCAACTGAGATCACATGAATTTTGTTAACACTTTTTCAGCGTCATATGTTTAGTCTTAGGTAATATAATTCTTTTCTAGAATAAATAATTACTACGTTTTGGGTAAATAATATGAGATAATAAGATCTAGTGTTGCTTGTACATGTGTTGGTACCCAATTTCGGGGTATTGAATTTTTTGGTGTCTTAAGGGGAATTCGGAGGTTTGGGAATTATCTGGTGTACGGAATCCCTTACTTTTAACCAGTCTGTGATGTTGGTATAAAAGCACTCCATAACTTCCAGTATTTTCACCCGATAGTTTTGTTTATTCTAATGGCTGAGATTCAAAAAGTGCTTTACAAACATTCATCTTTACCAATGTCCACTACTTGCTGGGTTTTTGTGACGCAAATGTGGGGATATGTTCGTCTGAAATAATCGTTAATCAGTTTTTTAACTCGCATCTGTAGTTGTGAACCCGAACTCGTAAACCAGTCCCACAAGAGGTCAATTGTGAGCACGAGTAGCTCAATGGTAACGTCTCAGGCTGTAGCACTAGATGACACGGGTTATGTCTCAGGAGAGGCACGAGTCCCTTCAAGATTGCAGGTACGCCTTGCTGACTGGTGAGTGCCAACAGGCACAAAACCTAGGTAAGGTGTGGTTTACTTCCGATTGCCTTCAGCCATCTACTAAAAATAGCTCATAAACTACTTTGTAGCCCTATACATACAGGTTAGATGTATGCAGCCCTACTATTTACTTTGTTCTTTGATCATGCGTGCAGATTTTGGATGCGCTGACTTTCTCTCCCAAATGAGCAAATTTCTCTTACACAGTCCATCTATTTATGCATACTGCAGTCCATCTGTTACTTACAGATAAAATTAAAAAGTACCTAAACGTCTTGACCGGCAAAACAAGCCAATACGAATCATCGGCTGTAAATAAAATTTCCTTAAAGGAAGATGTTGCATACATCTGTGGGATAAAGTATCCTTTTGCATACTCTGTTTGCACTACTGACTTACCTTCGTGGGACTGGTGTCGTTTAGTGTTTAAATCATCCAGATATTTCTGAATTTATTCTGTAATTTATAAACTTTCCATTGATATAATCACTTAAGCTTGACTTTGCACTGGTTTCTGAAGAGGTGAATTAAGAACAAAGTAACTGATGTACTTGTTTTCCATCCAATCTGTCACAGCCCATCCTAAGATTTCTCGGTACATTAACAAGTGCTAATTGAGCCATTGTTCTTCCTATTAGGGCTCTGCGGTTCTTTGGTTTAAACACCATATTCCCTAAAAAGGCTCACTTACTAACGGATAATCTCAAAACACACACAAGCAACAGGACAAACCTAGAAGTGGTTAAACATCCAGAGTCTTGGAAAGACTAGATTTCATGAAGGTAGGGTAAAATTGCACACACGCATTGGGAACGTAACTTTCGACGGACAGTCTTACTTCACACTGCCTGTCAAACTGTCGCAGACTGACATATATTACTAGCTTTAAGTGTACGATTAAAAATCTCATCTCACATACACCACCACTCATGCAATTACTCAGATATGCCATCTTTTGACTAGAAGTTTTCATGATGAGGTCAGTGTTGTTTCAAGTTGCTGTCAACCAAACAAAACTACTCTGCACTCTGTACCTGTTACACTTGTAGATAGTAATCACATCCGATGGAATTACCTCCAGAGTGTCGTTGATAGCGTAGTTGGAGAGGTACATAACTCTTCCTAACACTGCTGGGGAATACAGCATGTCACACTCGACCGTAAATGTTTTTTTTAACGGATTTTTGAATAGGTCAGTAAACCTTTCGTGGACACGTGACTAGTACATTTATGAACTCAATATTCCGTGCAGTTTGTAGTCCCAAAGTACGATTATCATATTTATTACGGACTGATACAAAAAACGGCCTCATTCTGAGATCATGGTACACTCAATCTTCAATATGAGATCAGATGATAAGTTCGTTTTATTGTTTAAAATTTCACGTCTCTCTGTAAAAACAGTCAAGGATAAGTGATATGTACTGGATGGGAGTTGAGAATACATTATACTGAGTCCCTGTCGAAATCCTCTTGAATTACATAATTTTGTGATGATCAACCACCTGTTTATTCGCCCCAAATTAACCAGGTAGTTTTCGCTCATTATTGTTTTCTAAAACATGTCTATTACGTTGTCTTGATGAGAGTTCTCATTCACTTTCTATTGAACTAAGTAGAATCTACACACTGTGACTGTGTCGGTTCACTGTGATTATGAGCTATATTTTATACGCGAAAAGTAATCACTAGCACATCATTGTGTATACTGCATCAAATATATTCTTCCTGTCTTAGAATTTTAATTTTGATTACAAGTATGGAATTTTCAGCGTGGATATCGGTAGCCCAAATTTCGCAGGCCGACCATAGATATCAGATGTGCGTCGGCGTGGGCTCGAACCCCGGACCATGTGCATGGTCGGCGGCGAGAGTCCTAACCACTGTACCACCGACGCACATGATATGTGTAGGTAAATCCGCAAGGGTGTCGCTTAATAGAGTAAAAGAGCGAATACGAACGTTTAGCTGTAACAGTCAGACTAGTAGACATCCTGGTTCATCTAGGGGAGCTGAAAAATCCGGATTAGAAACTTGGCGTGTGCATGTACTCCCGAGTCCGGAAGGGCCTGTTTTGGTCACCAGAAACTTTGGGAACCATTTAACTGCTAACTCTGCTCCAATACCTTATGGGTCAGAATTCACTTCAAAGGCCTGAGTTGTCCGGGCATTCGGAGAGTATCCCGGCTCTCTCACAAACTCTGAGACAACAGTTTGTGTTGTGCGTCTCTTGACGCCCATAATGTTTTAATAATAATAATATAATCCCCTTCATTAGTATTTTTTTGTTTTTACTCTTTATGATAGATCTATCCAAGTTGGAACGAAGACAGGCTATAGCCTTCTATCAACTGTCGGTGATCAGGTGACTGAAACCTTTTCTTCAAGTGAGTTAGTTCCCTGGTTATTGTAAATTTTTATTCAATATAGCCGGTGATCCAATGTGTATTGTTGGCAGATTATTCAATCGCAGTTTAGTTACTCTTGTCTCACAGAATGATATGCGCCGATTGCTTGTAGCACATTCCAGAATAAATACACTAATTTGTCATTATCGTTATACTTTAACCATTTTGGCAGTTAAAATGAATCACCAGGTGAGTAGTTTTGTAATCATCATATGGTTTTTGGTTGTCAGTTTCCTACTTTTTGAAAGGTATCTCTTCCATATCAGTTTCACGCCTAACTTACAGAACTGTTTAAATTCTTTGACTAGTTGTTTCTGCCTAAGGAAACTTGGTAGATTTATGTATTTTGAAAGTGCCAGAAAGAGTGGAAGTGGAATTCTGTGTTTGGGGTGGGGGGGGGGTATTACTTCACGGCTGTTCACACCATGAAATTCGATTTCTTCTCTGGGATACCTAAAACTGAAGGAACATTGGTGTGTGATGACTCCAGAACTGGAGGGGCAACTGCTTAAGGTCTGTTTGAAGTGTTTGCTAGGGTTATGTTTGTGTTAAGATCCTACCACCGGCTACGAACCGCCGCAAGGTAAGTTGGGATGTTCACATTTCGAGGTTGATCTTTTCTAAGCTCCACTCTCTGGAGTGAAGAGGCGACATACTCGGCATGGTGGTTATCTGAGGAGAACAGGTTGCTGCTGTTACTTCCCTATTCGCCAGCATTACAACTTCACCTACAGATCCCCAACATGGTGTAAATAATTTACACCATGGTGGTAACCGTTTTTAGTCTAACTGCTATCCAAACGTTGATATAAGCATAAAACTTGTGCACTGTGGTAGAGTATAATTCCATTGTGGGTAAAATTTGTTTTGATAAAGTTTCATAGCGTTATACAGTAATGTTTAATGATGACGTTTCAGGCACCATTTATTGCCGCTCATAATCATATCAAGGTACTCACACAACTTTCTAATTTCGTTTATATAATTCCATTATTTCATTTCATCGCTTGACTTGATTGGTAGTAGTATTTTGATATATTTCCGGTATGAGTGATGAGTCATTCCTGTTGCATATGTTGGGTGTAGACTCGATGAACAAGGATTCGATAATCAACCTCTCTCTCTCCACCTACCCAGATTACTATTTAGAATTTTAACCCTCACCCACTATGCTATTGTGTGGTTGTGTTTTAATGCATACAGTGCAATTACTGAGCTTTTTTCTAAATTACTTATCTTCTCCGAGAAGATGTAAACGATATATAAACGAAGTTAGAAAGTTGTGTGAGTACCTTGATATGAGTATGAGTGGCAATAAATTGTGCTCGAAACGTCATCAGTAAACATTACTGTATAACCAATTTTACCCATAATACTATTCAAACGACTTTTCTGGAATGTTAGGGCCTGTAGGAACGTTAGTTCCAGCCAGCGCGACTCGTTAGATCATTCCGAAATGCACTCCCGGCGACCACGTCCAGATGTCAGCTATCTGTAGGGGATCATTAAAATTCTGTCTAGCTACTTGTTTCTGTACACTAGCGAATAAGTCGCATTCCATGTGAACTGATAAGATTACCCAGCTGTCGAAGCTGAAGTAGATTAGAAGCGACATTGAAATCCAGGACTGAATGACAAAGTTGACTGACTAAATCAACGAGACACAGTCTCTGCAGTACAATACAGCATTGTGCAGTATTATCAAAAAGTCACGTTTTTTGTTATGACTGACTATGCGACACAATCGCCACCGAGTCATCATACCAAAATACTGTGGCATAATTTTATGAATGAAATATTTGACAGCTGATCTAAGCTAATTGTTGTAGACTCCAAATTAAGACGAATCAGAATAAATCACAAAAGCAAAGTTATGCCTAAGGGACAGAGTAGGCTTTGAATCACTGGAGTTCAGTGGCAAAAAGTCGCTTCGCTATTCCAATACCGTCCTCCTTTATGGTTGTGAGACCTGACCACTGAGGGTGGAAGACATGAAAAGACTAGCTGTCCTTGATCATAGGTGCCTGCGCTCTATTTCCTGTGTAAAGTGGTATAATAAGGTGAACAACATTGAAGTTAGGCGTCGAGTTCTAGGTAAACAGGGGAAATCAACCGACGAAATCGTGAAGTTACAAAGACTGAGATGGTTAGGACATGTGTTACGTATGCCAAGCCATCGCATCCCTTGACGAGCAATGTTAGCGGATATAGGGTCAGGCTGGAGAAGAGCTAGCGGCGGTCAAGCCAAAACATGGCACCAGTCAATGAAATCCACAACAGTTGGTCTAAGCCACGTAGGAAGATGTAGACTTCCAGGCTGGGGTCCTCGGTACGGTAAAAATCTATGGTTGGAAACAATTGGTGACATGGCTCAAAATCGTTCTCAGTGGCGCAGATGCATCCACTCCTTGTGACTTATGATCTCCAATGAAACTGTTTTGTTCTTCGTTATTACTCCTTTGTTTCACACCTCTGCTCACTGTCTCTATTATGCTTTTCTTGTACTTTCTTCTCTTGCTTCGCGTGCTACACGGAGTGTGGTGACTTGAACTTCCGCACATTTGTGCAAAGTTCTATGTCGAAAACAGACAGACAGGCAGACAAAAGCAAAGTTATGCCTAAGGGACAGAGTAGGCTTTGAATCACCGGAGTTCAGTGGCAAAAAGTCACTTTGCTATTCCAATACTAAAGAAACAACATTCGTGGACAACAGCTGGACATGTGGTTTTGGTGAACGAATTTCCAGCCTGAAGACACAAACAGTTTCTGTATGACTAGATGCAACAAGGTATTGCCTATTTACACTGAATGATAAGCAGCACATAGTGACACACATCTAGTTAGGACTCTCGCCGACCATGCACATGGTCCGGGGTTCGAGCCCACTCCGACGCCTGCAAAAATTTGGGCTTCCGATATCACATGCTGAAAATTCCATACATGTACCGAAAAATATGGTGTGGAATCAAAAATAAAGATAAGGGAGGAAAAATTATCCTAAGGAGAAACTGTGATACTCATAGTTTTAACTAGGCATATGTTGAAATTTCTGTGGAGCCCAATGACTCCTCGATAAACTTCACCAGTTGTTTTATCCTAGTTTGGGACTCATCGACACTGTGTACCCACGATCGGGCTACAGACCAAATCTAGGCTGACTGATTGGCTGATAGTCAACATAGAGCTTTGGACAGACGTGCAGCAGACCAAGTCGGGAGATTGCTCCAAAGAGTGACTGCATCTGCACCATTGAGTACAAATTGTAGTCATTTCACCGATAGCCATAACATTCTGAGAACCCAAACCAGGCCAGTCTACACCTGCCTACCTGGCTTCAACCAACAAACAAATACTTCATGGAGTGATGCAAGGTTTGACCACTCCTAACTCCTTTCCAGCCTAATCTTGTGGCATTCGATATGTGGCACACATGTTCTAACCCTGTTTATTGTTACAGAACACTACACCTAACCTGAATATTATTCATCACGCATATATTTAGTGGTCAAAGAAGACTGGCCTCTTCAGATCTTCTACGTTGAATAGTCATGTCTTCTTTTACTTGAATCTGTAGTTTGTTGGACTAAAAATAGTCTAATTTGAATCAGTGAGTCAACGATTCGATGTACCCCTCTCCACCCGTTGAATTTCACAATTCTGTATCATGTCACATCTCGCCGCACAGTAGATGTGTAGCTACAACATCTGTACGTGATTGTGGTGTCATTATTGTTGGAAAAATTATGTATACAAATTTGAATAGATAAAGACAAAACACCAAGTATCGAATCTTTTACCTGGACTAACTATCTGGTGCTCACTAGTGACTGGCCCTATTCAGTTGGGTAGTTACCTGATATTCTAGTGGGAAGCCGTGACCAGTAGGGTACGGGAGGTTAAGGTAGAGGCAGTAACTCATCGAAGCAGAAGACATTGCGAAGTGGTCGCGCTATGTCATGAATTGACAGAAGTTAGAATTCATTCACTGGCCATTGGATTGGGTTCCAGTGTCTTAATGGTCTAAGAGCTCGCTAGCCTTGTAATCAAAAGGTCCTGGGTTCGAACCCCGTGGTGTGGATGCGTACTGGTGAGGAGTCCTAAACTAGCTGTCCAGTGCCCCCCTGTAGCTGATTTTCCAATGGTTCTCTAACTTATGTCAGCTCATAAGGAAATCCTCTAACCAACAATAAGGAGTCTAAATCATCAGTAGTAATTCCATACAAGGAAGGAACCTTGGAAACCTTACCCAGAATTCTTAACAAGTCAGGAATAAAAGTGGCGTTCAAAACCCCCACAAACTCAATTAGAAACAAGCTTTGTCGGTTAAATGTTGGATCCTGTGGAGCTTTTAAAAGAAAACAATTTAGTTCATCTAATACCCTGCTGCAGTGATTATCAGGTGAAATACTTAAGTCAAAGTAGTAGCACGGGGTCAGTTAGTCTGACTAGCGGAGCATGAAAACCTAGTAGCAAAATCTAGATTGTTTAACCTGAATAAGATAAGAAATCTAGAGAATAGTCCAGCCATAGCATTACATGCAGTCACACACAACCATACATTAGGATGGGATAGGATGACAGTTTTAAAATCTGATGTCAGATGGTGGAGGGAAAGGTGGATAACTGATTGAAGCTTTGTTTATCGAATCAACTGCAAACCAACACGTGTGATAGGAATGATTCAGCACCTGCCCGTGATATCTGGGAAATTCTACTACCTCTACAAACAGGAGAGGACAAAGAAGACTATAAAACTCAAGTTTCACAGTTGTGTGATAATAATTGATGATATGATTATGAACAGTAATAAACTGTGTTCGAAACCTTGTCATTCAGTAAATAATACTGTTTCACTCACTGTGTGATACATCTAATAAACAAATTAATATGGAATTACCTACTACCACAGTGCCCAAGTTTTACACATATAATAATATGGTGGAATTTCTCCTCCATACTGAATTCTACTTTGATTCCTGTTGAACACCCTCTTCTGGTGGTGAGCCTTAGGGATTTAGTGATACAATCGTTCAATGTCTCCATTATTTTATCAACGACGATGTTAACTACTATCACTATTACTAATAATATATATTCTTAGTATTATCACTGTAATATCTCTTTTTTCTTTGCGTTTCTGTTGATATTTTCAGCGTCTTGTTGTCTGTGTAGAAGATGGTATATTTATTCATAATATGCGTGATATGCAATTGTTGCACAAAGTTGAAGAGACTCCACCAAATCGTAATGGTGTTATCGCTTTATCAGCCAATGAAAGTAATTGTTATCTAGCCTATCCAGGTTCACATCGTGTTGGCACTGTATTCATATTCGATGCGTTAAGTTTTCAGGTATGTGAGGAATCTTTTAAGTATTACTACTTGATATTTGATATTCCTTTTGCATTATTCCAATTGTGGAAAGCAGGACTTCAAGTGAGAATTTAGAAATCTCAATGGCGGTGATAGAGTTTTTTTCCCTATGGGGTAGGGGGCTTGCTAGTCTCACGCTGTACCTTCCTTAACTGAGCTCACTGCACTGGTTAAAGGAGGTTTAGGTGGCTGGGATTTGAACCCCGGACCACTTGCGGAGTAGTGGTTGGTGAGTATTCAGCTATTGAATCAGCGACAGACAGTGAAAACTATACAGCGTCTTATATTAGCTACCGTGTTGGTATGCAATGCTTCGGTACGGGCTGCCCTGCTCTACGCCTGTGAAACCTGGCCTCTTCGAGCTGAGGATGTGCGGCGACTCTGCGTGTTCGATCATCGCTGTCTCCACAGGATTGCTTGCATTCAATGGCATCATCGCGTGAGTAATTCTGAGGTTCGGCGGCGTGTGTTTGAACACAGTGGGGATCACCATTCATCGAACGTCGTCATCTGGAAACACTGGCTCCCGTGGCTTGGACATGTGCCGCGAATGTCATCCCAGAGGCTTCCGTACAGGTCTCTGTTCGCTAGCCACCCTGGGACGGGATGGGAAAGGCGGGGAGGTGGTCAGTCCATGACGTGGCGTCATGGGATGAAGGATTTTTGTGCTAGATTAGCATCGGTTGGTGTCACGACTCCCTGGTTGGAGTCCGAGAGATAGCTAGAATCGATGGCTCGAAACGTTATCGGATATGGCCAAGAATCGTAATCAATGGCGAACATGTTGCAATTTTCTTCTTTCTTCCCTTCCCGATGATAGTTACCGAACACTGTTTGAACTTGTTAAGTATGACTGTCTTCCTTCCAGATGAAGTTCTTTATCCGTTCTGTGCGTATATATTTTTTCTTTTCCTTCTTTTTTTCTTTTGATCTCTGTTGTTTTATCATTATTGTGTGCCATATTGTACCATGTTTTTATGTTTTTTTATGCGTTGGTGTACAGGGATATGAATGATTTTAAGTTCGATTGAGAACTGTATTCATGTGAAGTGATATAGTAGAGTGAGCAATACTGAGATTAGGCGTCGAGTGCTAGGTAGGTGGCAAGGGAAATCAATCAATCTACGAGGCTCTGAAGCTACATCGACTGAGATGGTTAGGACATGTGTTACGTGCGCGTAGTCATCGCCTTCCTGGATGGACAATGTTAGCTGACTTAAGGTCAGGCCGCAAAAGAGTTAGCCAGTGGTGGTCAAATCGAAACACAGCTTCACCAGTCAATGAAATCCACAACAGTTAGTTTAAGCCAGCCAAGTAAGAAGGTGTAGACTTCCTGGTTGAGATCCTCGGGACGGTAAAAACCAGTAGCTGAAGACACTTGGTGATATAGCTCAAACTCATCGTTCTCAATGGCTGGTGCAGATGCATCCCCTCCTTGTGACTTATCATTTCCAACGAAACTATTGTTCTTCGATATTACTATTCCTTTTTTCTCATATCCCTGTCTACTGTCTCTATTATGCATATCTTCTACTTTCTTCTGTTGCTTTATGTGTTAAATTGAGAGAGTGTGGCCACTCGAACTGGCGAACATCGGTGCAAAGTTCTATGTCGAAAACAGAAGGACAGATTGAGGACTAAAACATTTAGACAACCACTGAAAGCCGGGCAATACTGGACAGTTGTCTTGTTGTGTGTCTGGGACTATTCAGCAGTATTCACACATGACCTCACCCATAGGAGATCGAATCTAGGACCTCCAGGTCACTAGATGAGTCTGTTGACCATTCAGCCGATGAATTCTTACTGTTGTCAACTCGTGGTGCGTAGCGCCACCGTCAGTGCGTATATGTCCTCACATCTGGCATGGTGGACTCTACTGGCAGAAGTTAGGAGAATTCAAGGGTTAGTGGATTCCGTCCCTGTGATTTAAATGGTCAACGAGCTTAACCTTGTAAAATGGAGGTCTGAATTTTGATCCCAACTGGAGATGACCGTCCATTACTCACTGGCTTCCTAGTGGTTCTCTAAATGATATATTGAATAATATTTTCATTATGGTAGGCTATTTATAGTTCCGCTGGGAACTTGAAGAGTAAAAATAAAATATGTTCACCTATATCTTCGCTGTCAACCTCTGCTGCCAATGTATTGGTTTTCTCCAGTAGATCTTCGAGTTTGTGTGGCGTCAGACAAAAATCGTCCGCAAAGTCCAGATCTCCTGGAGTCTTAATTTTTTAAATCCAAATTCCTATCAGCTTACTGGTTGAGATACATACGTGTCTGCTTGCTGATTCCCAGATTCTATATATAAATTTAATGACTTGTCATAGGAATATATATATATATATATATATATATATATATATATATATGAAATTAATAACGCAGTTAATAGGTGAGAAAATAGACTTAGGTCAAGTTAAAAGAAGATATTGAAGGTCAAAATAGCAGTGAATACCACTAAACCAACTAACATAGGTAATAGTACATCTAGATAAAGCAATAAGAAGACGTAATTTGTCTGAATCGTGTAATGTATTTGCGCCCACAACACATTTCGAACAATCTGATCACACACGGACTTGTCATAGGAATATATATGAAATTAATAATGAGGTAAGAGGTGAGAAAAATAGACTTAGGTCAAGTTAAAAGGACATATTCAAGGTCAAAATAACAATGAAGACCACTAAACCAAATAGCAGAGGTAATAGTACATCTGCTATGGTATCATAACAAAATTTACCAAGGAAGGTTTAATGTGATGACAAATTGTTTTTGGACGCATAAAGGTGGCTTGAACTTTCTAAATGCTAGGGCTTCTACAAACTTTAGGATACGCCCCAAACACGTTTTATAGATAGGTTTAAAAGATCTGTTAACATGAATTTTATGACCTGTCTGTATAATATGTTTGGCAATAGGAGAGCTAGGTCTCCTGTTCTCACCGTTAATAGGTTCTGATGATTCCATTTGTATCTGGAGCCATTTTGGAATATGCTCTGAAGCCCTTACTTGCAGAGATCGATGATTCCTACCTTCTATGTATGTGTGTCCATACGTACATTCAAATAGGTAAATACTGTCTGTCTGTCTGTTTTCGACATAGAACTTTGCACAAATGTGCGGAAGTTCAAGTCGCCACACTCCTTGTAGCACGCGAAGCAAGAGAAGAAAGTACAAGGAAAGCATAACAGAAACAGTGAGCAGAGGTGTGAGACAAAGGAGTAATAAAGAAATACAAAACAGTTTCATTGAAGATCATAAGTCACAAGGAGTGGATGCATCTGCGCCACTGAGAACGATTTTGAGCCATGTCACCAATTGTTTCCAACTATAGATTTTTACAGTCCCGAGGACCCCAGCCTGGAAGTCTACACCTTCCTACGTGGCTTAGACCAACTGTTGTGGATTTCATTGACTGGTGCCATGTTTTGGCTTGACCGCCGCTAGCTCTTCTCCAGCCTGACCCTATGTCAGCTAACATTGCCTGTTGTCGAGGATGGTGATGACTAGGCATACGCAACACATGTCCTAACCATCTCAGTCTTTGTAACTTCACGACTTCGTCGATTGATTTCCCCTGTTTACCTAGAACTCGACGCCTAACTTCAATGTTGCTCACCTTATTATACCACTTCACACGGGCGATAGAACGCAGGCACCTATGATTGAAGACAGTCAGCTAGTCTTTTCATGTCTTTCACTTCGATTCCCGATCCCTGGTCATTCCTAAATCCCTCGCCTGATGTTTTACTACCTGATAGTGTGTCTGGTTAGGAGAGAGAAGCTTAGGTATATATATTTTAGGCGTAGGAATCCCATTCCTCTATGAAAACAACGCCACCATTTCAAATTCCTGAACTAGAAGCCATGTGTTTCAGCAGAAACTCTTGGAATGGAGAAAAGTACTCACTCTGTAATACCTGGAAAATGTTATTCTTTTTGCTTCTCTGAATGTAAGATCTTGTCTATGTAAGAATATGTGTGTGTAGGCATTGTTCAGTAATATATTATTCCAGTCTGGTGACGATTATTATGAAATGTGTTAAAATCGTATTCATATATAATAGCTACTCTACACTTGTTGTGTGTAATTCATGTGTTTTCAGTGAGGCTTATTTTCTGCAAAATAAATATCACGCAGTCATCTGATCTCTAATTTACTACTTCATATGGCATATATATTAAAAAATCGATCATTTCAGTACTCTGGACGAACTTTGAAATCGATAGGAATTAAAAAGTGCAATCGATCGATCATTGATTATTATTACTACTATTATTATTACTTTTTTTGTTTTACATTTGTTTTAATGTGTTTCTTTAATTCTCCTCTTTGATTGATTGGACCAAAATGTTCGGTTTGACTAATATATAGTATCTAAAGTCCTAGGCTGAATAATATTGCGTAGACTAAGTGGTGCTCGGGAGGCACAAACACGAGAGAGAGCCAGACAGGCTTTAGATCAGGAAGAGGGTGTATTGATCATATCTTCACCCTTCGACAGATTCTAGAGCATAAGCATACTTACTGTTGGCGTCCAACAATCGTTATATTTCTTGACCTAAAGGCGGAATTCGATTCTGTTGACCGAGAGGTTCTCTGGCGATGTTTGGCTGTAAAGGGAATGCTGAGAAAAAATACATTACACTGATCAAGCTACTCACTCTACTCGAACTCATGCAGTCAGCCAGGTGAGGGCTTACGATCAGTTGTCCTCTGATTTAACCCTAACTCACTTCAGAGACTCAGGGATTGACTTGCTACCAGGGAATAATCTAGTTGACTTAGAATACGCAGATGATATAGTCCTCCCACCTAGGGGAGGACGCTGACAAAATCCAGCAATCTACGAATGTTTGGCATGTGATTCGCTCCAGCCAAATGCAAGATGATGTTACAGGACTGACTGGACTACACTGACTCCTAGTTTAGAAATAGGGACTGAAGTGGTAGAGCACGTTGACCGCTTCACTTATTGTTATGTACTCGTCGCTGAAACTAATAGTCCTGACGCGAGAAGGCGGAAATCAGAAGACCACTAGGTTTGCGATGATACTTCTATTTTCCAAGCACAAGGAGACGAAAATAAAATGGTCCCACACCAAAGTGGTAAGCAAGTCAAGTAGTTGTAAAGTAAAGTAAAGTAGTTCACACAAATTGTGAATATAAATAATTCAGACAAGCGTGGGAAAAATCATTAGACAGTCTTAACATGAATGGCTAATTATAATGGAGTGTCGATCCAATTATACATAGCGAATATAGCAGACATGCCAACAAACATATATGGATATATGTCACCAAACAACGGACTGTCAACAAACACTCATATTATATATAATATAATATAAGGAGAATATACATTATTAAAGGAGACAAGTCCATACAAGTGAAGTGGTCACAGACTAACCGAACAAACAGAAAGAGAGACCAACATGCACACACACACATAAATATATATATATGTGGATACATATCACTTATTTGGGAAGTACCATCAGCTAGTGCTAACGGGTTGATCTCTGACGAAGTCTCAGTACGGATACACAGGGGCTAGTTTCGCATATGCCAGTTTACGCCGTCTCTGGCGTAGACGTGATATCCGACTGGCTATCGACCAAAGGGTGGATGTACTGCTCATCAGTCCGCTTCGTCCTCCTTTAATGGCTGTGAGTGTGACGTGGCTATTGAGAGTGGAAGACATGAAAAGAATAGCTGACTGTCTTCAATCATAGGTGCCTGCGTTCTATCTCCCGTGTGAAGTGGCATAATAAGGTGAGCAATATTGAGGTGAGGTGAGGCATTGGTCGAGTTCTAGGTAAACAGGGGAAATCAGTCGACGAAGTTGTGAAGTTACAAAGACTGAGATGGTTAGGACATAGGAGGCTATATGCTAGGACTACCAAATACAAAAACTCCACAATTACCATATCTGGCACAGCTGTTATGTGATGAGAAATCCGTTAGGTATGACACGATAAACTTACTGCGGCACTCTAACAAATAGTCCCATTAGTTTTTGTTTTCCTTTCCTCGTTACTACTACACTGTTGTTCTCATCTACAACCACACATTAACCTTATATTCCAAATCCTGTGGTGCATTGTTTGAAATGAAATACTCTACGCTGTTTTTTTTCTTAATTTTCAATATTTATTTATTTTATTTATTTATAACTTATTTATTTTATTTTTATGTATTTTTGATTTTTAAAAATCTTATATAATTTATGAGGTAATTAGATGCAATATACTGTAATGCACGCTGAAAATTCCATACCTGTACCACAAATACTGTTTGGAATAAAGCTGTTATTATTATTATTATTATTATTATTATTATTATGTGTTACGTATGCCTGGTCATCGCCTTCCTCGATGAGCAATGTTAACAGATATAGGGTCAGGCTGGAGAAGAGCTAGCGGCGGCCAAACCAAAACGTGGCACCAGTCAATGAAATCCACAGCAGTTAGTTTAAGCTAGCCACGTAGGAAGATGTAAACTTCCTGGTTGGAGTCCTCCGGACGGTGAAAACCAGTGGTTGGAGATAATCGATAATATGGCTCAAAATCGTTCTCATTGGTGCAGATGCATCCACTCCTTGTGACTCATAATTTCCAATAAAACTATATTGTTCTTCGATATTACTATTCTTTTTGTCTCATATCTCTGTCTACTGTCTCTATTATGCATTTCTTCTACTTTCTTCTGTTGCTTTATGTGTTAAATTGAGCGAGTGTGGGTGAATTGAACTGGAGCACATCGGTGCAAATTTTATGTCGAAAACAGACAGAACAGCATCTGCCTTCGTTCGATAATGAAAGTCAGATGACCATCTAGAAAGTATAATCAACAAGGAACTCTGACAGGTAGCGAATAATCCAACAACTTTTTGTCCAATAAATATGGCGAAGAAGAAATAGAGATGGGTCAGACACACGTTGAGGAGACCATTGAATGACACTCGCGCAACCAATAGAGTGGAATCCGATTGGGAAATGATGAGTTGAACGTGTGTGTCCTATGGTGACTTGCAGGAGTTGACAGACTATGGGCAGTTGTGGAGCCAAATAAAAAGAAGTTTGAGTGTGTGTGTGTTGTGGCTCAGTAATCTGGATAGTTTGTGTTTCCAGTCCCACTGAGCACGTGGTAATCCATTGTAACATACTACATCTTGTTATTCTCAGGGACAACAAAACTCACAGACGTATTATGATCTGAACTGTTGCCTCCTGTCAAGCCAAGAACAATGGGACTAGATGAAATGTTGTAGACTTAGGGGAAAACAGATTGCAAGTTTAACTAAGAATCATCGGAACTCTCTCTCTCTCTCTCTCTGTGTTCTTACCTTAAGCGATCGGTAAAGTAGGTTGCTAAAATGACCAGACTGAGTCACTTTTGTAATATGTTTGAAAAAAAGAAAACATCGACTGTTTTAGAACTCATCAATTTAAATACACTTGCATCCCCTATGATGGATGGTGATATTGTCTCCGCTGAGACTCAAACTAGCTGCCTGCCTACTCACTAAGCTAATAAGCCGTGTGTTGGTAGTTCTATGGTGGTTTGATGCTCACCTACTACGCGCTGTAAGTTATCCGGGTTCGATTCTCTGGCTGACTGACTGATAAATTTAGCTTAGCCTTGAAAGCAAGCCCGGTGAAGCCGGGGGGGGGAAGGTTGGGCTAGAATAAGGCTCAAGTCCCCCCGCCGTATAAAAAGATACCACTTCTACTAAACGTTCACTGGTAAGCCATGCAATTCACCTCCGGTATTACATTTATGAGTGTGTGATTTTAGACTCAATAGATTAGTTTCCTATGGGTTTCTGAATGCTATTCTGTCTGTGTAAAGGCAGCCATTCCACTGGAGAGCAAGTTTACTTAGCTGATGATTAGTCCTAATTGGGACGAAATGCGCCTCCAGTGTTTATCTCCCATCGATTGTGAGTAGTTATTCATCTTATTATGTAATTTTAACAAGTAATAGTGATTTAATTCAATTTTGTTAGATTTTCCTGTCGATTGATTGGACCCTAAGTGCTCAGTCTCAGGATGACATGTCGGCCCCTTGTGCAAATGCTTCAACGATGTCTGGTCATGTAAATTGAAGTCAATTACTCGTGGATGGTGACTAGCAGTGCAGTCCAGGATGAAATGCAGATACATCCAGAGGTGACAAGTACCAAACAGGACGAAATGCGCATTATCGTGGATTCCACTGCTAGTCACCATTCACCAATTGACTTCAGATAATAATGATATCTCATTATCAGATAGTATCAGTATCTTCTGGTGGGTCACAAAGAGTATTTCTAACAGCCTGTTGCAGACCTTTATCAACAACTGTCTTCGCTCTATACTGAAGATCAACCAGATGGCCGGGCAGGAAAGAATCACCAACAAGAAACAATGGGAACAAACAAAGCAAGAACCAATCGCCAACCAACAAATATGCAGGAGAAAGTGGAGATAAATTGGACACTCGCTGAGGAGACCACTAGGCGACATCGCGCGTCAGGCCATTGCTCGAGTGGAACCAGGCCTAAAGGGAAGCGGCGAGTGAGACGTCCACGGGTGACATGGAGGAGATCGTGTGAAGAGGAGTTAAAACAGTATGGACTAACTAACATGGATGCAGGTGAAAAGTACAGCAGTAGGAAGACAGAAGTAAGTGGAGACGTGCAGTTGAAGCCCTATGTTCCACTAGGAACTCAAGGGAACAATAATAATAATAATCAATTTCTTCACCTCCTTGTGTTGTTATCACTATTACTACTGTTTTTCTCTCTCTGTGTGCGTATTTACAGAATGTCACATCTATTGCTGCACATGACGGCTTACTGGCTTGTCTTACATTTAATGCTAGAGCTAATCTATTGGCTACTGCTTCAGAAAAGGGTACTGTGATTCGTGTATTTTCTATTCCACAAGGAGAAAAAGTCATTGAATTTCGTCGTGGACTTACTCGGTGAGTTGTCGTTCGTTTTGGTTCTTGTTCTTGTTGCTGTTGTAAATATCCAGTACATTGATTTGCATTGATTTGACTAACAGTCAAACCCCGTCATACATATGCCTACAGATGTGTGCATTCGGTCTCTCTCTCTCCTGTTAATTGGACGTAAATATTGGTGAGTAGTACCGTTGAGGTTAAGTGTAGTGTATTGGGTGGTGGTAAGGAAGGCTAATTCGATCGATGCAGATGTGTGAAGGTGAATGGCGATTAAGATGGCTAGGATATGTCTCCATCATGGATAAGATTTTATTTTGATAAACTGCCACACAGTGGTGTTATACAGTAATATTAACTGATGCAATCACGTTTCAAGCACAAATATTTCAAATCTCATTCGCCTTACGAAATCTCACATTGACAGTTCTAATGAGAAGTTATGTGGATTGAACTCCATTTATCATCATCAAATATATTGTCTGATATCTCCATAATCTGCCAAATCAAGTTCATTAATTTTTGTAGCTCTGCCGTTAATAAGACGAAAGAGAATACTAGATTGAAACTGCTTGGATCCGGTACCTCTGACTTTGAATTAAACCAATTCCCATTAAATCCTGATAAGTATGTGACAAATCTGTCATCGGTTGAACTTTTATTACATGAAAAGGAGGTGTTATCACTTGGTTTCAATTTTTCTATCCCATTAAACAATATTTCGGACTTAGCAATTGATTTTGAAAATTTGTATGATCAGTTGAGTTCTCTAACTCCTTCCTCGACAGATGACCAAAGTTGGTTGAAAGTTAAATTTGTTGATGTTGCACACCAATTCCGTAATTCAAGTCGAAAACAAAGAAGCATTTTAACATCAACCCATTTTAAAGCCCTAAAGGAATTACGTAATAGATCCGATATAGTTATTCTGAAACCTGACAAAGGATCTGGTGTAGTTGTAATGGACAGAAATGATTATAAAACAAAAATGTTATCCATTCTTAATGACGAAAATAAATTCATAGCCGATGTGCGTCGGTGGCATAGTGGTTAGGACTCTCGCCGACCATGCACATGTTCCGAGGTTCGATCACCTGCCGACGCACACCTGATATCTATGGTCGGCCTGCGAAATTTGGGCTACCGACACCATGCTGAAAATTCCATTCTTGTACCAAAAATACAGTGTGGAATCAAGCTGTAATCAAAAATTTAAAAATTTAAATGTTCCTTCGGATGATATCAGAAAATTGGAAGGAAAAGTAAATTCTCATTTAGTAAAACTTCGTGGCATGAACGTTATCGATAAACAGGAGTTTAACTCCTTGAAACCCATGGGATCTGATTTTCCAAACCTCTATGGACTACCTAAAATTCATAAGGTTGACAATCCATTACGTCCAATTCTTTCAATGTGTAACTCTCCTACACATAAACTAGCAAAATGGTTAGCTGATATTTTAAGCCCAGTACGCAATGAATTATGTAAGTTTACTTTGAAAGATACATTTGAACTTGTTGACTGTCTTGTAGATATGAACATAAAAGATAGGAAAATGTATTCATTTGATGTTAATTCTTTGTTTACCATTGATTAAGACTGTTGATATTCTTTGTGACTATATTTCTTCTAGTTGTTTTTCATTCCCTTTCCCTTTAACTTATTTGAAAGATTTATTATTATTATGTACTGACAACGTCCATTTCACGTTTGAAGGCGAACATTTTCGACAAGTGGATGGCGTTGCTATGGGGAGTCCATTAGGACCTTTGTTAGCGGACGTGTATATGTCTTATGTTGAAAACTTATCCCTTGATTTAATTTCAAAATTGCCCTTTTATAGGAGATATGTAGATGATATCATTTTGATATGTGACGATCATGAAGATGCGAGTCGCCTATTAGACAGACTTAACTCTGTACAAAATCATATTAGTCTTACATGTGAGGAAGAAAGTCGCAACCAGCTAGCATTTTTAGACATACTTCTGAGTCGAAGAGATGATGGCTCAATAAGACGGTCTATCTACAGAAAGCCCACTTGGACAGGGCAATACCTTAATTTTCACAGCTTCTGTCCATTACAGTATAAGAGGGGCTTGGTGAAGTGTCTATTCAAGAGGATTCAGCGTATTTGCACGGCTGATGTTATGGACAGAGAAAACGAAATATTAATGGATACTCTTGTTGAAAACGGATATCCTTTGAAATTTTTAAACAGGTGTAGAAGTCAACTAGCCTCTAAACCTACAATCCATACCGTCCCTAAGAAAAAGGTTTTTATCAAATTACCATATAACGGGGAAATAAACAGTAGGATTGTGAGACAAAGGTTGAATTCAATCATCCGTAGAACCTACTATGCAGCCCAGCTTGTAATTGTGGAAAAAGCCAAAAATATGCTTCACTGTAAACCCCAAAAGTGCACAAGTGATTATATCACATCCCATACAATTTACCAATTTTCGTGTGTGTGTGGACATACATACATAGGGAGGAGTAATCGCGCTTTGCACGTGAGGGTGGGAGAGCATATCCCAAAATGGTTAGAAAAACAGATGAATTGTGACAAGCTAATAGATGCAGGTGGCAGACTACCAAATTCGTCTATAGCTAAACATCTAATCGAGATGAACCATAAGATTGATGTTAACTCAGCCTTTAAGGTCATCTATAAAAACGGTCAAGGGCGTTTATTGAAATACGCTGAGGCTATAGCTATTCATAGACTTAAGCCCCCCTTGTGTATTCAAAAACAGTTTGTCATTACTCTTAACCTACCTTGGTAATCCTTATTTGATTGGATTACCAAACGTTTGTGTTAATTATTCTTAATTCCGTTTTCTCTCACTTTGTTTAATTTAACCTTTCTATATATATTGACTTGACAAGTAAATGTGTGATCAGATTGTTCGAAATGTATAGCGCTAATACATCACATTTTTCAGATAATCTCCGTCTTCTAATAACGCTAACAAATTATTACCTCAGCTCATAATCATATCAAGTCACTCACACAACTTTTTCCTTCATTTATATACATGTGTGCATTTGCCTAGATATTTGAATAAAGGTCATTATGTGATAATATACATTCAGAAATAGTAATACGAGTGTTATTGATCAATTAAAATCAGATGGGAAATAAGACGAGTGTGTTTTATAGTCATAATAAGTTACTTGTTAGAATGTTGTGATGTATGTGAATTGAAATAGAATTTTAAGGTTATTTATCATCCTCCTCTGATTTGACTGACTGACTGATGGTAATAATATCTTCCATGCATATCTCTGGTATTTGCATTGAGTCATTTCCGTTGCTTGTGTTGGGTGTAGACTCAATGAATCAGGCAGGATTCAGTAATCAACATGGTTCTCCACCTACCTAGATTACTTTTTAGAATTTTAATCCTCTCCAACCCGCCCTGTTGTGTGGTTGTGTGTTAATGCGTGAAGTGCAATTGCTAAGCTTTTTTCTAAATTACTTATCTTCATACTGTCAACCATTCTTCCCTTAGCCACTAAATTCTGATGTTCTGATAATCTGACTACCCCCGACCCACTCGTTTTACCTATGTAGTTGACCTAATTCACAGTCATTGCGGGGTATTTTGTAAATTTTATTATCTTGTCTAATTGCGTCAACCTGCAGGGTCCTTTATCCTATAGAGATTGTCCTGTCTGAGTGAGTATGTAGGTTTGAATGCCATCCTGATTCTTGCTTTATTAATAATCCTACGTAGGGTGTCAGATGTCCCCTGCTTATATGGTATAACAGTGGATGACGTATATTCTTTCTTATTTATGTTATCATTATGGGTTTCATCATTATTTTTATTTCGCATTTGGCCTTTAGCGATCTTCTCAATGAATTTTGTAGGATGGTTATTTAACACCAGCGCCTCTTCTTCTATCTATTTTATTTCATCATTTAGGTCTTTTCTTGTGCTATGGCTTGGTTTTTTAGACACTTAACTAAGACTGCCTTCTCAGACACTTAACAGATGAGATGAATTAAAGTCTAAATATCCAATATTAGAATGGGTTAGTTTTGTTATAAAAGCTAGTGTGCACTTTACCTTATTCTGTTCGTTTTATTTTTACAATCTAACATGATAGCTAATTCTCCTTGTTCATTTTCTGACTCAACTGTGAATTTTATTCCTTTCACTAGTGAGTTTATATGCACCAAGAAGGTCGAGATACGTTCTGTTTTTAACACTGTGAGTGGAAGTGTCATCCACATATCTCCACCATATTTTTGGAGTAGGATTAGTTGAATGTATTAAGAGCGATATTTTCCCAGCTGTCCATAAATATGTCTGCTACAATATTGGTTATATTGGTGGTCTTTCAATAAGGCTAGGACATGTGTTATTGCGTATGCCGTGCCATCATCTTTCTTGACAATGGTCAATGTAAGCCGACATACGATTAGGTTGGAAAGGAGTTAGAAGTGGTTATACCAAAACCTGGGATGGATTCATGAAGTCTTTGAGAGTTGACTTAAGCTAGCCACGTTGGGAGGTGTAGGTTGGCCACTTTAGTCCTCAGGATGCTAAGAAACACAATAGCTGAAGACTGTTGATGACATGACTCACAGTCATCCTCAATGACTCAGATGCATTCTCTATTTCCACCTGGAGTTCTTTCTTCACTGTCTGCTTCTTCAGCCGCTTTGTCGGTTTTTTTACCTAATAATCTTTGAATTTGTGTCACAGTCTGACGCATAATCCAGTCCACTACAATTAGTAATATCATCAACCATAATAGGCAGCCAGCCTTGTCTTACCCCTGTATGTACTTCGAATGCCTCGCTGAGTTTCCCGTTGCGGATCGCCTGACACATGGCATTGTCATATAGCCAGCTGTTGAATGGGCTTGACAAAGACTGCATAGTGCTGAAGCAGTTCCCAAATTACTTCTGGGTCAACGTTGAGCTGTCGAAGACCTACTCGAAGTCGATGAAGTTGAGGTAGGGAGAGGTTTGACTACCATTCTATGATTACGATACGTAGAG